TCCTTCTGATACAAGCTAACCCCTTACATCGGGGGTAGCCAATGTGGAGCTTTCGAGACGTCATTGAACTATTAACTCTCATCATCCACGGACACTTATCTTGTTGGCTGGAGCTGATGGGAGTTGTAGTCCAACAACCTCTGGAGGGCACCATGTTGACAACTCCAGCCTGACATAAATGGGAGCTGTAGAGGCAAAGACTAGTAGATGGAGCGGTTCTTAACTCGCACAAAAGTTTCCTGTCAGGCACATGCAGTGTGAACTGCAAGGGGCAAGGGCCAAAACAGATAGCACATGGGTGTTTGGATTTCCTGATCTCCCCACCCCAGAGCGAGGTTGTGATTCAGGTAGGGGAAATGTCATGGTAGAAAGGGTTAAATGCCTTCTCTCTTATTGATGCAGGAACATCTATTGACACAGGAGCTTCTCCCTTCCACTCACTTACCCACGGCTGTCTGGGCCTGCCTTAACATTGCTAGAAAAAGTTTGAAGATCTGACCGAGGTTCTCTTCTGGCACATGCCCTTTGGCACTTGGGAGCAAGTCCCACTAAAACCGTGGTGCTGATTTCTACATAGGAATATGTGGGATTCCACTGTACACAGGCCTGCCTGGATGCAAAGGCACTTGGGAATGGTCTGCAGGCTACATATAGCATTTTGGAGAAAGACTGATGCACAAATATGACAAAGAAATACTCCTACAAGAGAGGCCCGAAACTCAGCACCCCAAATTCCTTTTAATGCCAGAACTTCATGTATGCCACACATGGGGCTCAGTCTCCTCAGGGCTGGGTTGTCACAGTCTGTTGCCAGGATTAATTGGCAGAAATGAATCATTTTCACTTGTCGTTCAGCCAATACCTGGCTTGGCTCTCACATGTTCCTGCATTCTGCTTCAGCTCCACAAAGGGCTCTGGGCAGCATCTTATTGTTTGCATTTCAGAGCAGCTGCAGCAGCAGCAGCCTCACTTCCCAGAACTGGTTGCTGGTGTTTATTCCTGGCTTGCTATGGCAGCTGCTCTGGGGCAAGGGAAACTCTCCCTTCCGCTCCTACATTCTGTCTGTGCCAAAGTCAAGCATACAGATATTGCCTATTCCCAATGTCAAATCTCATATCCTAGGCAAGAGGACACCAGCTGACACTCTCTCTCTCTCTCTCTCTCTCTCTCTCTCTCTCTTGCAGGTTAATGCTGAGCATTCCTTTCCTGGTGGTATTTGAATATTGATGATGGGGGGAGGTAGAAAGGAACAATGAGAATTTCACTGCATGTGTCTTCCAACTCCTTTGCATACAAGAAAACAGTGATGGCCACTAGGAGACTTTCCCTGCATTAAACAAAACAACGCAGATTTGTATTTTTAGTACTATATCTACAACTAGTAGCCATGGCTCACAACTAACAACCACAATAAGGAGAGGGAGGCTGGGTTGTGTTTGCTCTGTGGAGATACATGCACACATTATAAATGAAATCAAGGAAGCAACCCAAAGAGGCAATATTGTAGTAATGGGTGACTTCAACTACTCTCCACATAAACTGGTTACATAAGTGTTCCAGTCATGACAAATAGGTACAATTTCTAGATATCCTAAATGATTGTGCCCTAGAACAAAACAGTTGGTTATGGAACCGACCAGAAGAGTGGCAACCCTGGATTTAATCCTGAGTGGCACCCAGGACCTGATGCAATATGTAAGTGTTGTCACACCAGTAGGGAGCAGTGACCATAGTGCTATTAAATTAAATATACACGTAAATACCAAAAAAATCCAACACAGTCACATCTGATTTCAAAATAGGAAGCTTCCCCCACAGTGACGAGATTGGTAAAAAGGAAGTTGAAAGGGAAGGTCAAGAGGGTCAGATCACTCCAAAATGCCTGGGAAATGTTTAAAAACAAAATCTTAGGCATTCACCTCAGATCAGAAAAGGTACCATAAGGGTCAAGAGGGTGCCAGCATGGTTAACAAGCAAAATCAAAGAAGCTATTAGAGGAGATCAAATAAATGTATCCTCGCCTCCCTCGTTCTCTCAGATTCAGGCAAATGGCTAGAGGAGCTGGAAGGGCCCTTGCACAAATGTGTGTGTGTGTGCTTGCATGCATGCGTGCGCAATGGTAGAGGCCTGGCTGGAAAGCTTAAAGCCCTCCATCACTACATGGGAAACATTGAAGAAAAGGAAATACGAATTGCCCCTGCCCCATAGCTTGACCAATCGCGGCTAGGAGCTAGGTGGAGTCAGATCTAAAATAAAGTGTAGACTTGCCCACACTGGCCAGCTTCCATTTTGACTTGAAATGTTCGTTTTGGACTTCTCAGAAGTACGTAAAGGCAAGAATCAGCTGGGGGCGGGGGAGCACCAGCCCATAATGGCGCCCACCTGAGAGGTGTCAGAACTGCGCTCTGGCACGCTCCGTCTGAAAAAAAGTATTGCTTTCAACGATCACTCATTGAACACTGCAGAGCTCCAGTAGCACTGAAAACGCACACCCACAAAGAGGTGAAGGCATTACAACATTGATTTATTTTTTAATTATTTTTTCACAAAATTACACAAGAGTGGGGGGGGGAGGTGAACTGTGCCATTTAACACTAGTGATGGTGACTGTAATATTCGTGTAGCAGTATTCCAAACAGCACTTGCACAAACGTGTTAGGAAATCACATCCCCCTCTGCAGTTTGACTGTTGCAAAAATGTAAAGAAATGCTACCTTGAGGGAAGACATCTGGATCTCATGCCGCAAATACGTAAGAACTGTGAATTTACTGTGCTATTAAAACTGATCTTCTGAGAAGACCCTAAGAGCTGCCCCAGGCCTCCAGCAGTAAATACCTAAATTGCAAAGGGCAGCTTTACATCTCTATAACCCCAGTGGGCATGCCCTGGGGAACCCCAGGCAACTGGGGAGAACCCAGTACATATATCCTAGCATTCCAGGCCACACACCTACCCTTCTGGCTTTATGCGTTCACTGTGGGAATCACAGGTATCCCTGCAGCAAACACAATTATTGCACCAAGTGGCTCTTGCACAACCACTGTACCAAAAAGCCTCCAGCCAATGCACTCCTTTGCTGTCCCAGCTCACACATCACATTTCTCATGTCATCATGGGAAAATTCCAGCAGCTGACCTAAGCACCCATTCCAGCAGCTAGCCTAAAGGAGCCCATCATTCTAGGAGGGAGGCTACCTCAATCTCTTGTTCCTCTTGCAAAACCAACTCCTTCCTTTAAGAACTGCAGCTGCAGCACGTATAGTCATTGGTTAATCCAGTAACCTGACCTGTTTCCCTGAGTCCTCAGGCACGGAATCAAGACAAGAAAGGGGGAGAGGTTCTTGCCCTTCTTGTTCCCAAACGTTTCGGCACGGGTTCGCCTCTTTTCCCTGAAGCTCTTCTGGGAAGGGCAAGTGAGGATAGGGTGGAATGCAGCCCTCGGAAAGTTTGAAAAGACAACAAACAGCTTAGAACTCTGTGGACAATTAAACCCCAAACCTTTCCATGGCCCAAAGAGACTCTGCCAAACACTACAAAATGCTAAGTGGGTGGCGGTGGGGAGATGGGATGGAGGGAGGGAGGAACACCTTCTCCAGAGCAGCAACTGCTTTAAAACATTTACACTTAGATGGTTCTGTCATCATCCAGCTCAGTTTGAGAAAATGCCTTCCGAGTGACAGCGGCACAAGGAACTATCTACTCAAAAAGGATTCCCCTGGATGCTTTGTGTATGCTTTAGCTCTCCTAAGAGATGTTTATGTTTATCCCTGAGGTTGCTTTGCAGATACGTGGGTGAGTTAGCTGGAGGGGGAAAGTTATTTTAATTGCAGCATTGAAGAAAGGAGTTGTGCAACAGAAAACCAGCAGCCGACCAGGGATATGATACCGGGTGCTTGTTATATTAACAGGATCCTATTGCTGTTTCAGCCTCCTTGAAATCTATCTCCTGCTCCCATTTTTACCCACAGAGGGGCAGTGAGGGTGGAGAGAAATGGCTAGCAAAAAGCAAATTTTCCCAACTGCTGTGTGAGCTCCAAAGCAGCCTCAATGTGCTTCCAGAGGGGTGTTTATCATGGAGTTGCTAGTAAGGTAAAGGTAAAGGGACCCCAGACCATTAGGTCCAGTCGTGACCGACTCTGGGGTTGTGGCGCTCATCTCGCTTTATTGGCCGAGGGAGCTGGCGTACAGCTTCCGGGTCATGTGGCCAGCATGACTAAGCCGCTTCTGGCGAACCAGAGCAGCACACGGAAACGCTGTTTACCTTCCTGCTGCAGCGGTACCTATTTATCTACTTGCACTTTGACGTGCTTTCGAACTGCTAGGTTGGCAGGAGCAGGGACACAGCAACGGGAGCTCACCCTGTCGCGGGGATTCGAACCGCCGACCTTCTGATTGGCAAGTCCTAGGCTCAGTGGTTTAACCCACAGCGCCACCCGCATACTTTTTCATATAAGTTGTTGTTTGTTTGTTGCACTGTCTACACAATGTTATTGGCATCAAAATGCTAGCCCTTATTCCCCCCCTCCATATTTAATCTGGATTTATCATTTCTCCGGAAAATCCAGTGAGTTTCAAAAAAACAGCAACCTGTTGCTAGAGACCCATTTGTGGTATATGAGTGATCTGTTTACAATATTAAGCACCCATGTACATAATATGGTGCATGCTACTGGACAGCTATGTTGAGTTATGTAAATAGGGAGATTTCTCAAGGTCCACTGAGATAGAAGAGATGCTTTGCAGCCCCTGGGCAGGATTTCAATACAGAAGCACCACCTCCAGGGCCAGGATGAAACCAATCAGCTACAGAGGGAAAGTACTTTCCATGTCCCAACCCTAGACCTCCAGGAGCAAATGGGTTTGCAGCACACAAATGTCCAAAAGGAAACTCGGCTGCAAGACTGCGTCAATGCCAGAAAGCTCCCAGGTTTGATCTCTGTGCTCTAAGTAGTGTCATTGCGGTGACCTGACAAGCCCTTGCCTTTTGTGTAACAGAGGCCGGCGAACGTCACTGCTACATCCCAGCCAGAGCGGAAAGAGCGCCCTCTAGTGTCCGTCGGGGCCCCCCGCGGATTCTCCCTTTTTTACCTGGGTTTAGCGGAATACGAAAGGGGAACTAGCGGGGGGAGGGGAGGGAGTTTCAATACTTGGGAAATCTGACTTCTGGGTTCAATATTCAAATGACGGCTGTCTTCTAAGAAATTCAAAACACTGACTGGAAGGTCTGCAAAACCAGCTGTGGTTTGATTTAAGTTAGAAGTGAATAATCGTCAGGATCTTTACCCTGAACTGGAGGGGGGAGGGAAATACCAGCTGCTGAGAGGCAATTGGGGTGGGGGGGAAGCTACTGCCATTATGCTGATCTTTTGGAGCCCCCAGAAGCAGCTAGTGGGGTGGGGTGGGGGGGCTGGGCTAGATAGATTCCTCTGTCTGATCCTGGAGGCTTCATCGTTTGTTCGTAAGAATGCATTTAGTCTTAAGCAAATTCCAGGAAAATCGCCTGCTTCACCCATCTCCCTTCACAGAGTAAGCCTATAAAGAAAGCTGAGGCTTCGCTCCTAACCCAATTTACCCGGGAGTAAGCCCTACTGAATTCAACAGAGCTTACTTCTGAGTAGAACGGTTAGGGTTGCGCTGCAAATTACTACCCTCGCTGGGACTACCCTTCCTAATGCACGACAAAAACAAACCTATAGGATTCCCTATAGCGCCCGTCCCATTCGCTATGGGAAGGACTTTCTTATCGCGGGGGACAGATGGTGGTGGGGAGAAAGAGGTGGAAGCCTCTTTCTTTTCACGCGTGCCCGCGGAACCCGACTATCTTCCCGGAGCAACTCCACGTGGCTGCCCCCGGCCGCGAGCCTCCTCGGGCCTTTCTGGCCGGGGGAGACGTGACTCGCACCCCTCCTCCTAGTTCTTTCAACCAAGCGGTGGGCTCCAGCCGCGGCCAGGACCGAGGCGGCGGCAGGGGGGAGGGTGGTGAGCGAGGCCTCACTGCCCGGAATGGGCTGGCCGCTGGCTGCCTGCCTAGGGCGCGCTCGCGAGGAAGCTGAGTTCCTGGAACCCGGAGGCGGGGCTGGCGGATGCTCTATAAAAACCTCCAGCAGGGGCTCTGGCGGCTTTGCAATTAGGACGAGCCAAGCGCGCAAAAGCGAAAGGGGCTGCCGCTTCCCTTGCAAAAGCCTCGCCAACAAGCCGTGCGCTGCCGGCGCCCCGCTTCCCGCTGCCTCGTTTCTCGTCGCTCCCCAGGTAAACCAGCGCCGACCCGGAGCTGACCCCCTCCCCCCAATCTTTCTTTTTTTTCCTCTCTCTCTGGCGTAGTTGGCCGGCCAAGCGCTCGGCTTTTGGAAGCGCGTAGACGGGATGGGGCGCTCGCTCGACCGTGCGCTCCGGAGAGGTGCCTGCATGGGAAGGCAAAAGCGAGCCGGGGAAGCCAAGGGCAAGGCGCGGGGGTGAGCTTTCCGACGTGCAGCGGACGGAGAGCAGAGGTAGTTCGCCCATAGGGGTCTCCCAAGCCGGGGTGCCACTTAGCTTCAGAGCCTGGCTCAAGGACACAGCCACCAACTCGGGGGAACGCCTCGGAAGGTTTCCGGGCGGCTGGCAACCCCGCTTTGCCTGGGGAGGAGGATGGCGTGGGCCGGGCCCTGCGGGGCCGGAGCTGCCGGGGAGAAGCTGCCCTTTGTCTTTTAACACCTGCTCTTTTGCTTCGCCAGGTCCGTGTCCTAGCAAGCCGCTGCATCCGGCAGCAGCCCCGATCGCTCGGAAAGCTGGCTCCCTGCGCCATGGTCACCCACAGCAAGTTCCCCAGCGCCGGGATGAGCCACCCGCTGGACACCAGCCTGCGCCTCAAGACTTTCAGCTCCAAGAGCGAATACCAGCTGGTGGTGAACGCTGTGCGCAAGCTGCAGGAGAGCGGCTTCTACTGGAGCGCGGTGACAGGTGGGCAGGCCAACCTGCTGCTAAGTGCCGAGCCCACGGGAACCTTCCTCATCCGAGACAGCTCGGACCAGCGGCACTTCTTCACCCTCAGCGTCAAGACTGAGTCGGGCACCAAAAACCTGCGGATCCAATGCGAGGGGGGCACCTTCTCCCTCCAGAGCGACCCTCACAGCAGCCAGCCCGTGCCTCGCTTTGACTGCGTCCTGAAGCTGGTCCATCACTACATGCCCCTCCCCGAGCAACAGCCAGGGCAGGCACCGCACCCCAAACGTGCCTACTACATCTACTCAGGTGGGGAGAAGATCCCGCTGGTGCTGAGCCGCCCTCTCTCGTCCAATGTGTCCACCCTGCAGCATTTGTGTCGCAAGACGGTCAACGGGCACTTGGATTCATACGAGAAGATGACCCAGCTCCCAGGTCCCATCAAAGAATTCCTGGACCAATATGACGCTCCCTTCTAAGTGGCTTCTTCAGTGGGGGTGGCCCACCACACAAGCACAAGGACAGGACTTGGAAAATGATGGCTAACAAGATTACAGGGCGAGACAAGAGACCTTTTCCCCATTCTGGCTTGTGGAATAAGAGGGACTGGGGGCATGGAGCAGGCAAGGAGCCTCTGCCCAGCACAGAGACGGTCTTGCTGTTGTTTGTTCTGGATGGTTTGCCCGTGGATGGGGTACTCTGTGCAAGAGACCGATGATGGTGCTTGACTATGGAACAGGCTGCTGCTCCTTCACACAATTGTCCTTCCCAGCTACAGCCCAGTAAATACTGTGTTTATCTGGCTTGTGCTGGGCATATCAGAATGGTTTGCAAACCTCCCTAACCCATGGACAGTTTACAAAGAGCATTTGCTCTGCACTGGCCCAGACCACCTCTAGTAACCTTTGACCAAAACCATTCTGCAGAGACAATGAAACTAATGCACTGGAATCCAGCTAGTGCCTGAAGACCGACTTTTCCTCAGTTTTAAGGGGAAACCTTTTTATATTGTTATTCATCTTTACCTCTCTCTCAACCTCCTGGAGGGGCAGAATATCCAAAGCCTCTTCCTCAGAGGAACTGCCGCACATCCATACAGGGGACTAAGCCTTAAAACAAGCTCCACATCCTCTGATCCCATGGACCAGGGTTGTTACTGCACACTGCATGGGGGAATGCCATATACTCTCTGTGCAAGCAATGGAGGACATCATTTTACAAAATTGGCACCACTGCTTTTAGAAAACCTAAATGGATAATGAATGATCTAGCCATTTCCCCTAAAGCGTTATTCAACTTTGGCTCCTGCGCCCAGACTGATAATCTCTTGCCTTTATTCTTGGGTTTTCAGCTCATCAAAAAATGGTCTTGTATCTACACAGAGGTTGTGGATTTGCTTGGGCCCTAAATCGCACTGAATAACCGAAAAACATACAGGAATGTAGCAACAACAGAATTACCTGGAACTCTTATTATTTTTTTGTAAAAAAGGAAAAACCAAAAAAACTGTAACCAAAATTTTGTGTGTTCATCTTATTTTTCCATATCAGGGTTTTAGAAGGGCAGATGAGGTTTTGTTTTTACAGAAAGAAATGTTTACAGACCTGCCTTAAAAAATATATCATTCTGTCTTTTATAAAGATTCCACCCTTCAGCCTTGCAGGCTGTTAGACATGCTTGAATACTCAACCAAAAAAATCAAACTTGGAAGAAAACTTTGCACATCTATTTATATTTATAGTCAATGGATTTTAAAAATGACGTTCATTAATTTATAATAAAAGGCACTATTTTTTAAATGAAATGCTTGACTATCTTCTCTTTTCTTCCACTCCACCCTACTCCCAAACATTCAAAAGATACATGCATCCTGGACATGGCTTCTGCCATCCTCGTAACAGCATTAGAAAAGTTGAGGAGATACCATAATCTCTGCTATAGTCCTGCACTGCTAGAAAGGGCAGGCAGCTACACTGCAGCATCCTTGTGTAAAAAAAGGGAACTCTTCATGCTGGTGTTGGCCAGGCAGGGTCCCAGTTATTGTCAGGAAAGGTATCATCTCTTTGTAACCATTAATTACTGAATACTGGGGCAGTCGTGTTGCAGGAAGCATGCAAAATGCACTTTGGGAATGACTGTCCACTATTATCTGCTTAGGAAGGGAGGTTCTCTGGTAGATGTGGTTAATTCTAAAGCACAGTACTGGGAGCACAAGGGACAGAACTACTTATGATGGCAGCACAGCTTTGTCTTCAAGCACACACAACTATGAAACAGCAGTAAAGCAGTGTTGCTGTGTGACTGAAGTCAAGGTTCTGCTGCTGTTGCATGTAGTGCTATTCTTTGTGCTCCTGGTGCAACACTTTGAAGCAAGGCCAGAAGATCTACCAGCTACTAGACAACAGGGTGGCACGTGAGGGATTTTAGCTCAGAGACAGAGAACACAGGTTCAATCCCTGGTGGCTCCAGTGTTAGAACGTCCCAGGTTCAATCCCTGGTGGTGGTATAAAAGATCATCTGCTTAGAGCCTTTCAGGCGAAATGGACCAGTGATCTGATGTGATTGGATCAAGGCAGCTTGCTGTTTGGAGCAAGTTACCAGCAGAGATCAGGCAGTCTGAAAGCACTGAGCCCAGTCACCGCCGGCTATTTCCCTATTCCTGCAGCCATTCCCCCATCCCTACCCTGGCCCAGGTGGAATGGGACTAGAAAGAAGTTCATAGGAGGACATATGAGAAGGTGCTGCAGTGTGAAAGCGTGGCCAGGATACAGCACCCCAACTTGCCTGTCTACTGTGTCATTTAAGGTAAAGCACCAAAAGCAAACACACCCATGCTTCCCAGAAGCAAGCACATTAAAAGATGCATTCCTTTGGGTGTATAAACTTTCAGCGGAGCTTCATGCAATGGCTGAGGGAAATCTAGCTCTAGTTGCTGGTGTCTTATGGCTGGACCATTGGGAGGTGTGATAAGATAGCTTGTTTAGCTTGGGGAGCTTTTCAAGGGCAGTGGAAAGTTCTGCAGAAGGACGTGCAGGCTGCCTGTCAGCTCCCTCGCTGTGTTTGCAAAAGGCTGCTGCTTTATCATTCTGGTATTTGTTAAAGAAATGGGAGTGGAAGAGGTGTCCTCTGATGGGTCCAGCAGAAGTCCTGGCCTTTTCCCACTTGTGCATTCAGGTGTGTATGATGTGCTATGTTTATGCATGCAGCCACCTTAATACAAGCATAACCTCTGTGGATTACACAATGGGATTAATCCCGAGGGAGCAGCCCAATCTCCCATTTCATCAACAAATGACAAAGAAGCAGCCTTCTGTAAGCACAGTGTAGAGGTAAAACCTATAGAAACTACTTTACATGAAACTGAATCAGGCATGGTTGACGGGTGTTTCTTGCCCACACCCCACCAAGTTGTAATCTTCCCCACCTTCTCTGCATTGCTCTCTGTAACTCTGCATATTAGACAGGTGCCACTTTCAAAGTTCATTTTCTCTGGTTTCGCCAGCCTGTCCTTTCATCACAATTTACTTTCTTCCTTTAAAAGCTCATGATGATACATTTAAATGCACACACAAACCATTTACTTTCCGCTGGTGCCCCCTTCATTTATTTTTCCTAAATGGCCACTAGTGTGCACAGAGCACAATGAACTCCTGGAACTTATTCCCTAATCTATTTGTGCATTCCAGCCACAGGAACAGTAGGGCAGCTCAAAATTTGGCTAATGCAGAAAGCAATCCATTCCTATCCTACCCATAATAGTGAATGCCCCTGCTTATTATGGCATTTACCCGACCCCCTTTACTACTACCACCATCACCACTCAGGTAAACATGTGGAGGCTTGATTTCATTTTGATTTGATTATTTAATTTCTATACCACTTAATGTCTCTAAGCAGTATTCAAAAGAGTAGCCACAACAGACAAACACTCAGCTCACCCACAAAGGCCTCACATCAAGAAGAGTTCCTGCAAACAGCAGTCTCTCACTCTAGTCTCTCTCTCTAGCCTTGCTTTTTATGGGCAGGCCCAAGGTGGATGGTACTTCCTCAGGCTGCCCAAGGCTGTGTCCCATTCAGCTGCACTCTCCACACCCAGTTCCAGGTACAGCAGGTTTGCTGGGTTTCCCAAGCAGTCCAGAAGTTGGGAAAAGGACCCCCCTCCACTCACAGCTCTTTCTTAGCCGTCTCCTCTCTTTCTCCTCCAGCTGCTTGTTGATTCTATCCATCCTTAAAGGATTCTCTCTCACCTGTTCACTGTTACTTTATTATGCAAACACCCATAAATCAGGCTGATTGATTCCCTTGAAATTGAGGTTGCCAGGAAAGCGGAGGAAACCTCCATATACCTTTAAATCTCCTACCTGTTACTCCTTCCCTGCTTGCTTAGCAGCGTACCTGGCGCACTGATCAATTACAACAGACTTGGGAAAGAGCTGGCTGACAAGGCCAAGGATGCCTTTTTTGACTTATCTTCTGCTGGATTGGAAAATCTGCAGCTATATAAATGTTATCAGGCTTTGAATCTGGTAGATAAGGTTATGTTCTAAATCCACTGTCAGAGGCAGTATTCCTCTAAATAGACTAGGAATCATTCTCCACATCCTTAAAAAAGGCCAGAAAAATGCAGTCACCAAACTTCAAAATGTGATTTAAAATTGTTTTGTGCGAAAGAACACATGAACACACACATCTTTAGATGACAATTCCTTTCTCCAAGTCTTCGGGCTGAGTAAGATTTATTTGTTTGGGTGTAATTAATTTTATGGGGGGAGGGGTAAGATTTTCAGTTTATTTTAGCTTCTTGTTATTAAAGAATACGAATGGAGGAAGAAACAGAGGTGTATGTGAGTAAACATAACATGGGGATGAATGTATGAATAATCTTATTTATTCTTACATTTTATCCTCCCTTTTTTACAGAGGGCTCACTTCTTCCCCTCTCCATTTTATCCTCCTAGCAACCCTGTAAGGTGGGTTAGGCTGAAAGACAGTGACTAGTCCAAAGTGACCCAGTGGCCTTTGTGCCTGAGTGGAGATTTGAATGCTGGTCTTCCAGGTTCTAATCCAGAACCATTACTCCACACTGGCTTGTCCCATGAGAATTCAATAAAGGAACATCCACTTGAACACCGAAATAGCAAGATGGACACTTCATAAGATGTTCAGGGAATTAATACACACTCCATCCTCTAATCAAGCAGGGGATTAATTCACACTTCATAGACACAAAGCAGATTAATAATCAATCGGTTCCTTAATAATATATGACATCTGAGCATAGCAAACGTGTTCCTTGCAGACAGGAGAAGCAGTCTGGCAGTCTAATTCTTGATTCAATGGTGTGGACAGAGGAAGCAATGGTTTTCACAATGGGGAACAGGCACGTGTATATCATAGGCTTGTGCCAGGTTCAGGGAAACCACACAGTTCTCTCAAAGAAGATCACATCTCCCCTCCAATTTAATCCCAATTGAAACATGATTTCATTAGGCCACGGCGGAGGGAATAGGGTTTTTTTCTGGGAAGCTGCCTCTTGTGCCTTTAAATACTGAAGGGTGGTCCAAAGGTTCTGTGATAAAGCTTTCCTCAAACCTGCTGCACTTTGCCGGTTGAATGTGCGCTTGTCATGCAAGTCTTAAAAAGCACAGGAGCTTGGCCAGGGAAACAAGGAAGCAGCCAGAAAAAAGGAAGGAAGACACACATGGAGTCAGGCCTTTCCCCCAGCCTGTGGCATGGCTGCTGTGTTTCTAGCCCTGTGGCTCCCTCTCACCCAAGCAGGGCAAATGGAAAGGAAAAGAATCGCTGCACGGGCTCTTTAAGCCCTGCCCCTGTCCAGCCCTTCTGGCCTATTGTCCCAGCCCTGCCAGGAAACCCTGATTCCCAGTCAGAGTTACAGCTATGTCAAGAATGTCCAGGCGCAGCAAGGCCGGTGGCGCCATGCCAGGCCCAGCCGAGGCACATCCCCAGCGTCAGTGCCATCTGATCCTGACCGGCACACCCCCCTCTCTCCTCCCTTGCTGGGATCTGGGTTTCCACGGCAACAGGATTAAAGGCTGGAATATCACTGTTTATTCTTCTGCCTGTGCCAGGAAATGAGAGGCCTTCGCGCTCCCTTTGCTCCCCGACTGCCATCTAGGGGGTAGTATTCATGGAAACGGTTGGGTAGGGGCCTGGCTGTTCCATGAAAATGAAGTGATTAATTGGCAAGGGGGAAAGGAGGAGGAGGAGGAGGGAGAAAATGAAGCTGCCAATCTGAGGAGAGAGTCGGGTGGGGTGCCCTCAATTTGTAGGTCCCTCGGAGGGGACTCTGCATGGTACATGTGAGAAGCAGTCTCTTACTGCCGGCCTGCATCTTCCAGGGAGCAGGCCACAATACATACACTGTTCCATCTGCTAAACAAAAATGCCCTTTTTGAACCTACAAGATTCCCCCCAAAAGACATTCACCGTAATCATTAAGAACCACCAAAGCGGGGAGAGTCGTTCCCACTCCAGCCTGCCGGGTTCCTTGACTTGGAGAATGCAAACTTTGTGCTCTGTGCGCAACATACCAGTCCTGTCTCACCAAATTAGTCGCAATTGCCTGGAATTTATTTTCTCTCCCCCAGCCCAGAATCGCGTGTCCCCTCAGCTGCTACGCTTCCCTTTTGCTTCAGGACCCAACACACTGCTGCAATCAGCTGCTGATTCAAAAAGTCCGGGAAGCTTTGTGAGTGCCTTTCGTTTCTTGGAACGTCCCCCAGTCAGCAATGACGTGCTGGAGGAGCAGCAAACCTTTAAGCAGAAGTTTCACAAGCCTCATGCTTTCCCCAGAAATGTCTCCTGCATCATATAGGGAAATGTGTCGGTGAATGTGTCAGTAAGTCGCAGTTCCCTTCCTTACTTCTTTACCAGCTCTGGGAACAAAGAGAATTTGAGTCGTAATGGTGAGAGTTTTCTTGATGGGGGGGGTGGCAAGTATAGCAGCTCAGCTGAACAGAGAAATTAGTATTTGGGCCTGGTTTCGCTGGCAGGAAATACCCTGTTCCAACAGGAAAAGTACCTCTACCAAATGCAGGATGCACAGCCCTTATCTAGCGCTTTACACAATTAACCAGTTCCTGTCGCTCAACGTTCTGAGAAAGTAAAACAGAAACTTTCCAGAATTATACCTGATTATTTGGCAGCCCTTTTGAACATTAAAAAAGTGGGTCTCGATTCATTCAACCCAATTGCATGCAAATTAGATTGCAAATCCAATAGAACAAGGAGAAAGTTGCCGCATGTACAGAACTTAATCATACACTCATTACTCATTCTCTACCTTACCCCATACTGAGATTTTGCAAAATTCATATTAGCTCTCATGCTCTGCCTTATTTGGGTGAAGATTATGTTGTGTGATCATCTGAAAAGAACAAATGAGCTCTGCTTTGGTTGATAAGGCTGTCATATTGAAGGGAGTGGTGGAGGGGGTAGAGTCAGGTTGCTGATGAGAAAAAGGAGCCTTACCCATGGAATGCATAGTAGCAGCAAGGTGTGGAGAAGTTCTTCAGCTTTTCCAGATGTGTGGCCAGAAAAGGGTTGGCATTTTGACAGTTTTGATTCTTCTCTTCACAGAGGTTTATAAAAGGGCCATTACTAAATGACTGCCAATTTGCTTTAATAGAAAAAGGGGCCTTGGTCATAATGTTTGAATTTAAAATGCTTCTGAATCAACAGAGGGGCAGTTGTTGCAAAACAAAAACAAAACCCCCCATCACACATCATGGGTAATTCAGAAAAAGGCTGTTTCAGATAAATCAGAGGCATGCATCAATGACACAAACAAGGTAGTGTTCTCGCTACAGCAGGGATAGCCAACATGGTGACCTCCATATGTTGTTAGACTACAGCTCCCATCAGCTTCAGTCAGCATGGCCAGTGGTCAGGGATGATAGGAGTTGCAGTCTGAAGGGCACCCCATTAGTTACCTCTGATCTAGAGAATATGACAATAATGAAAAGATGTATATTTTGATATATTTATCATATACAAGTTATACATTAATGGGTAAATTCCCTATAGACACCTACTACAGCTTTGTTAGCAGGCTGGATAACCTCAGTTGGTTAGAGCATGGTGCTGATAATACCAAGGTTGCAGGGTCAATCCCCATAAAGGACAGCTGCATATTCCTGCATTGCAGGAGGTGGACTAGATGATCCTCAGGGTCCCTTCCAAACCTAGGATTCTATGATTAATGAGCTGCATTTTCTATGGTTTAGGTTAGGATATAAGAGGTGGATTTAAGGCAGCACTGGGCGCCAAACCTAGGGGGCACCGCAGGGCACCACAACTGTAACAGTGAATTGAACAGAATGGATAGGCGGGGGAGGAGGGGCAGGGAGAGCAAATTTTGGGCCTTGCACAAGGTGCTGCTGAATTTTTAAAGACCAAAGACTGCCCCTAAAAGGGTCACCACACACCCCAAAGGGCAACTACTAAAACTGACTTAACAGATGTTAACCAAATGAAAGGATTCTTAAGACTATATCCAAGACTGCCCATGGGACACATAATTTCTCAAGAGCTTCATACATCAGTTTCACAATGCAGAGCAGTGGCTGTCAACTTTTCCAGATCTGACACACACTTCAACCTGCACCTGTAACGAGAGGCTTTGCTTGCTCATTTATTTATTTTGCTTTTCCTTCCAACAGACTTTCTCCTTTCCTATTTCTTCCTCCTTTCTCTATCACTTGCTTTTTTCCTTCTCCTTCTTCCTCACAGAACTGTATGATATTCTGCTGCCCTGCTAATGCATCTGTACTCTAGTCCGCAAATGTTTATGCCACGCAATAAACTTCTTAGCCTTTAAGGTGCTGTGAGAGGCTTGCTTGTCCGCATAATGTAACCTGACCAGGATGCAAGCTGTGCATGATATCAGTGTGCATGCAGATTGCTATATTCTCTGGCATTTATTAGAATACACCTGTGAGAAAGTGCAACACACCCTGTCAAGATCACTGTGTTGGTATATGGGAGTTTGGTTCTCCTTAAGTGTTAAATTATACTTTTCTATAGGTGTTCCTTTGGAAACAGTGCTGGCTGCTACGCCCTTTTAATTCTTTCTCAACCTGCATACTTGTAAAACAAACTTCTCTTTTCAATCACCAGTGTGCTTTTCTTCAAAAGACACTGACCCTGCAAACATTGCCCTGAGTTTCCCATGAATCCGGGGACAGAGAACAAAACCATTTTCAACACACATGCAGTTGGAGGAGTGGTGGGTGGAGTTTAGCAGCAACATCACAAGATCAGACAGCACAAGAAATTCATTACAACTACTACTTCTGGCTGACTAGAACATCATGTGGCAGCACTGTTTGTCATTCATTTAATCCAGAAGTTTTCAACCTTTTTCAGTCCAAAGATCCCTTGACATTCTTTCTGCAGTACCCCTGTGGGACTCAGGAGCCCAGTAATGTCACCCCTTGCCTGCAGTGCTGGCAGCCTCTCACACTTTTTCGAACACCCTCCCTTGTGGAGTGTTCCCTCAGCCTTTTCTCCTCTCCCTTCTTCTTGGGAGTCCTCCAGGCAGCTGCTGCTTGCCCCCTCCTCCAAGAGAAGTGCCTCTTCACACTGCCCCACAGGGGCCTGGGACTTGTCTGTCCATTCCCAACAGCAAGGGCTAGTGGACTGGCTGGCTGGGCTCCCTTGCCCACTTGCTTGCTTACTCCGAGGCCACCTCAGTTCCTGGCAGCCAGCACCCCATGGCCAGCCCCAGAGGCACCATTTGCCTGGGGAGCTCATAGCCAGGGCTGTGCAACAAACAGCTGTGCAAGCCTTTTGTTATGTACTGATGTTCTCACCCTGTGCCAGCAGGGGGATACTGTAGACAGTTATGCAAATGAAGGATCGAAAGTGACGTTCAGTGATTGGATAGTTTGTATGCAAATGAAGGATCGAAAAGTGATGTTCTGTGATTGGATAGTTTTAGAAAGTTGCAACAGTTACAATTGTTCTGGAGCTCTATATAAGCAGGCTGACTGAGCTCCTCAGTTAGTTCTGTTCCAGCTTACAAATAAAGAGCTGCTTTGGAAGAATCGCTGTGTCATCTGATATGTTCGCCCACAACTTAACACCTTTGGAGGCAGAGACAGGAGATGGCATCAGAGGAGGGAGGGAAGGAAAGAGGGACAGAGGCCAGTGTTGCCCACGGTACACCTGACCATCATTCAAGGCACCTAAGGGCACACTGGTTGAAAACCACTGATTTAATCCATCATGATGCAGGAAGCTTTCTGCAATCTCCCTCCACCCACCTCCAAATGTAGGGAACTTTTTGACATTTTCTTCATAAACTGGGATGCAGTGCTTTGTCAATTAATCTGTTAAATTAAGAATCTTTGTATCTATTTAAAATGTCTCCCTGAAGAATCAGGGTGCAGATACTTTTTAAGGAAACTTTTCATGCAAGTACAGTACAGTCATACCTTGGAAGTCGAATGGAATCCGTTCTGGAAGTCCGTTCGACTTCCAAAACCAAATTGCAGCTTCTGGTTGGCTGCAGGAAGCTCCTGCAGCCAATCAGAAACCGTGGAAGCCCCATCGGACGTTCGGGTTCCAAAAGCACGTTCACAAACCGGAACAATCACTTCCGGGTTTGTGGCGTTCGGGAGCCAAAATGTCCGAGTTCCAGGGCGTTCGACAACCAAGGTACGACTGTACATACCAAAATCTAAGGTGAAAGAAGAATTTCCCCTTTTCTCTTGCAAAGGAGGGAATGCTACTTCTGAGATGTGAGACAAATATGTGTGTTTCCCTGATTGGAAATAATTGCTTCCCCATAGGACCAGCTTAAACAAAGAATCTATCAAACATGTGGAGAAAGTTGTGTGAATTCGTTCTGCTTCTCCAGAGTGAACAAATCCTTTCTACAGCTGCTAACAGCAACACTATTCTGAGCACAATTCTCATTGTACGGGCAAGCACAAGGTGAGGCTCCAGGGACAAAGGGAATGAATAGAGACCAAATAAACGTGTGAGTTGAAACAGGCTACAACTTTATTATTTATGGCAGAACTTTTCTGGGTACTGCAGGGCCTTTTACAGTCTGGCCCGAAAGAGGTAACGGAACTGATGCTGTGACATGTTTTGCAAAGCATTTTGAGGATAAAATTGCTTGCATCTGGAAACTTCAGCTGGTGCAAAATTCAGTGGTCAGGATAGCTCGATGGGGGAAGGCAGTTTGAGAATATAATGCCAATCCTGGCCTGACTGCACTGGCTGCCAATTGGTTTCTGAGCCCAATTCAAAGTGCTGGTTTTTTAAATGGCTCGAGATCACAATACCTCAAAGACCACCTCTCCAACCCGGACCCTGTGGTCATCATCTGAGGCCCTTCTTCGTGTACCTCCTCCATGAGAGGTCTTGGAGGACGTTAACACAACAGCAAGCCTTTTCTGCTGTAGCTCCTCATTTGTGGAATACTCTCCCCAGGGAGGCTTGCCGGGCGCCTTCGTTGCATATCTTTAGGTGCCAGGCAAAAACATTCCTCTACTCCCAGGCCTTTGGATATTTATATGATCTATGGCCTTTCAAACTGGAAGGGGGTATTGTTTTTGTTTGTTATTATGTTATGCATTTTTTTGATTCCATATTGTAAACCACCCTGTGATCCTCAGATGAAGGGTAGTATAGAAGTCTAATTTAATGATGATGATGATTGATGATGGTGTCAGTGGGGTTGGCATGGCAGTAGGGCAAGGATTGGATATTGATTCAAGCAGCCTCTCCCTGGGCACATGACAATTGTAATGTATGCCCATCAAAGATCACATTAGACATTTAGGCATTCAACAAATGAATATCCGCCCTTCAAATAGGAAGTTATGAAAACAGATCAAAGAGGAAGGAGATGTTTCCCCTGAAGACGGGATCGGGGAATGCATACTTATTCTGGGAGGGTATAATATGGCAAGATCTTGCATTGCCGCAAGAGGCATCTGAAGCTCATGTGTGGGCAGCAGAGGACACTCAGATTGGATCCACCCAGTTTCCTGTTACTGGAAACAGAGACACACCAGCAAAATCCCATGGTGTATAAACTCCATACATCAAAGGGTCACGAGGACTTGATCTCCCTCTGAGTATAAACGCATCAGCATATGAGCTGACTGTCCCTTGCTCATCCTATCTAAATGAATTAATGTGACAGGTATGGTGGGCAGCACTTTTTTTTTCTTAGAAAAGCCGTATGAACCGGCCACATACATCTCAAACGGTTACAAGCTCCTTGAAGTTTAATTTGACATTTCTTCAATTTTTCAGTATGTACACGGTTTGCAGCTACTTACCTATGTTCCTGTGGCCTAATACCATATTTTAGTATTATTTCTAAGAGTGGAATGAGATGAGAGGAGTTCTAAAGTCATCTCTTTCCAGCCCATGCCACGCTTCCAGGCCTCCACTTTTGTCTAATTTTTAATCATCTCGCTTCGTGACCGTTCCTCTAACAGATTTCTTTTTCAACATTTCCCCCTTTCCAGCTGCGTATTTACTAACACAAACCTCTTTCCTTCCGTTTTGTTTGGGGTTTTTTTTGTCCTTTTCTTTGATTTTGCACATCTCAGCATATCTTGCAAATATCCGACTTTGTGCAAATCTCACATAACAAATACAAGTTATCACAAGAGGAACTTGCCCGGAAGTAAAGCTGTGCAGGGACAACAACAAGTGAAGGAAACATGAAGGATTATAAAAGTACTGCAGTGGTGTGGACCACTTTAAGTTTAGTAACAACAACCTCACAAAGTCCTGATGGCAAAAACAGCAGAGCATTCACAGTACCACCATTTCAATGACTCTCACATGCACTTCAGATTTTTATTTTTATTTTTATTGGATTTGATATCCCACTTTATCACTACCCAAAGGAGTCTCAAAGCGGCTAACATTTTCCTTTCCCTTCCTCCCCCACAACAAACACTCTGTGAGGTGAGCAAGGCTGAGAGACTTCAAAGAAATATGACTAGCTCAAGGTCACCCAGCTGCTGCATGTGGAAGAGCGGGGAATCAAACCCAGTTCACCAGATTATGAGTCTACTGCTCTTAACCACTATACCACACTGGCTCTCTAGATTTCTGTACTCCGCGTTAATTAATCTAGGGCAGGAATGGGGAAACTGGCAGTCCAAGGGCCACATTCCCTTTTGGGAGACTTCATGCGTGCTGCATTCAAGTGGTGGGTAGGGCCAGAGAAAAAAAAGTGGAGGGAGAAATAGATGCACTTCTAGACACAAAAGTCAAAGGTTTCTGTACATGCACACGCCCCTCTCCATCCTTCTTCCAGGAAACAAGCAACATCATAATTGTTCAAGGACACATTCCGGTCAGGCAAAAGCACATGAATAAAGCATGAAGGGGGCAGGGACTAGTGAGGTGTGTGGCTTCGGGTGGAACATGGCCAAGTGAAAGTCCCAAGGGCCAAATAGAGAGGCCCCCTGCTCTAGAATAACTGCTGCCATCACAATAACCAATACAGATTACAATCCCCATTTGAAACTAGAGCTGTGCACACACTCCTGTTTACTCTGCATCCGGCGCACTCCCACCACCGATTTGGGAAGTGGTGTACACACGACATTAGTCACTATCCATATCCTGTATCTATCCTGTCATTTCTTACGAAATACTGCGTTTTTGATGCATTTCCCCCAAAGCAGCTCTGATCCAAGTTGAGAAAAATAAATGACCTGGCTGCATTTTAAGCCTCAGGCAGAGTAGGAAGCGCCAGGATATATAGCATATCCTATTGAAAGAAGCATTTGTAGTTGTGACATAATTACTGGAGTTTATTGCTTCCCAGTCAAGACACTGGATAATTCCCAGCTGCACACAATTCCTGCTCTTGGCGGCCTATTCCTGCTTAGTCTGGGCTGAGTCAAGAATAACCCACAGAATAGGTCAGGGAAGGGAGGAGCATAAGGCTTCCCATTATTCAGTGACTGCTCATCTTTGTGCCTGAATTTCTTCACTCATCGCTTCCCAGAGAAGCTCAGGAACAGACTGAACTACAGCTGGGCATTTACAGTAATCCCCCGTGTTCCTTCACTTCCCAGGTCAGCCCATTCTTCTCGAACAAGTTATGACCCTTCAGGACAATTCAGAATAATGAATTCGGAAATCTGTGCCCATATAGTTGGCACAGTTGGAAATACGCACCCAGGTTGGCAGCAGCATTGCTAAATGGCACCTTTGAGACATCATCAACCAACTACTGCATAAATCGTTGTGTATAAGTGGCAGTGTTCTACAATATTGTTATCTTACAGTAATAAACAAGAACCAAGAAGAATTCAAATTTAAGGTCTCATCCAAACTTCCATTTACACCATGTTTCTAGGAGTGGGCTTTAAAGCTCTGTCTCTGAGCGGGTGTTTTTGTTTTTTTGTTTTTGTCCTGGCACTTTTTCCTGGGATAACCCACTTTTTACTGTGGAATCAGAGCAAATGGCAATCAGGTTTTCCTCGGGTTGCTGCTTGTTCCAATTCAATGGTAAACCAGGGGTTTTCCTGGGGAAAGTGGCGGGACAAAAAAAATTGGTTGGACACAGAGCTTTAAAGTGCAGATCTGTGCCTGGAAAGCCCAGTGTAAAATAAAGTATGGAAGGACTCTTAGTTTCTCTCTGGTCTACACAATTGCAGCAGGACCCAGGCCTCAAAATCAGGCTGCTGCAGCAGCATCTGTACTATGAAACTGAATTGTATTTGAAACCAGTTGGACAATTATTACTTTCCCCAAAGAATCCTGGGAATTATACTCGGGAGAATTTTCTCCACATCATTTCAAATTACATTTGGGCTGGGAAGGTGGCAGTGAGGCAAAGAGAGTTAAGGGTGGGATGAGATACACAACAAGGTACAAAACCTTTCTCAATACCTTCAAGGTGACTCCAATTGCGGAAAAGTAGTGCATTTTGAATGATGTTATTATATCTATACATCAGAATAACTACAGGGGTGTTATCAGCATAGAACAAGGATCCACACCACCTGAGGTGTATGTAAATTATTAGTGCCTAGGTGTGCACACCTACATTAGCACACATATACATTTAATTGTCTATCACTCAATGTATAGATAAGGTGTGAGCCTAAGAAATCATTGTGTGTGGTCTGACAGACCGGAGGAAGAGAGTTCTCTCTTCTCCCTTCCTGATATTGGGGGGGGGGTGTTGTTGTTGTTGAGCGTTTTCAGAAGCCTACCATTCTCAGGGTTTGTTTTCTGGGAAGCTATGACTTTAACTGTAAATTTTTAAGCTAGTTTAAATGTGCTGTGGAGACGAGAGTCTTACCAATTTGTGCCACCAGCCTTTCTTCAGGGAAGTGGAAGCTCTTAACAGAAGTGTGAGCGCATACTGCTGCAATGGGAGTAGGAGGGAGAGGAAAGGAACTCTGGCGCGTATTTGGGGAGGCAGAGTTGGCTCATTTGAAGTGCTGTGTACATATCCATAGCAACACGTTTTCTGTTGCTCCATCTCCAATGAGGCCTACGGTAAACTCGTAAAAGGAGACGGGCAGCTGTGCATTCCTCACTTGTTCCATTAGCAAAACTCCTCTCTGAGCCCAGACCTTCCCTTCTAGCCAAAGCAACCAAGAGCCATGAGATCATCAGATTCTTCCCTCCTCTCCACCCCCTGCCCCCCCCGCCAGGCCCTCACTACCACCACAAGGCTTCCCAGGGCCTGTGAATAAAATCAAAGCAGAGGTGGCAAAGATCTCAAGTCAGTCTTTGCAGCCCAGGTTGAATTCTTCATCCGCTGAACTGGAACACGGCAATATAAGGCATAAATGTATGACCATAGCAGTGGAAATTGCTATGGTCCCTAGGATCCTAATCCATCCAAATGACACAGATGATGAATATGTAGTGACCAGAAGCTCGAAAAAGACGGATAGGAGGACACAATAAATTCAGATATCAACAGAGCAGTGTTTCACAAACACTCTTTTTTCTGGATTAAAACTGGAAGAATAGTGACACTTTACATTCTGTTCTCAAAAAAGTAAATATATTCTTGATCAGCTCCCAGAACAATAAGCACAACCACTGACTGTATAATGCCTACTATATGGTTTTCATTCGTCTCCTTTGCCTTGTCAGGGTTACATCTATTTTGGAGAAAAGGCAGCCATTCAACCTTACAGACAGTGGGTGGGGGCGGGGAGTGCTTCACTGTCAGGTCTGCATGGGGCTTCCCCATTCCAAGGGGCACTGCATTGCAGATGCATCCACCCAACTCAGTGGCTTTGATTTTAATTTTTTTATTTTTTACATGGACACAAATCTGACAACTAGAATGGCAATATTGAAAAACCAGTGGGGAAACATTTCAACCATTCAGCCATTCTTATATAAAGGATCTTCAAAGGGAGACTGCAATGTGAAACCACTGAATTACAGTTAATCTAGAGGTTCAATGCTATCCCTTGTGGACTGAATAGGGACAATTCATTTTTATCAGTTGGTTACAGCGTTGTGCTGATAATGCCAGGGTTGCTGCATGGGGCAGCTGCATATTCTTGCATTGCTGGGCATTGGTCTAAAATCTAGATGATCCTCAGGGTCCCTTCCAACTCAACCATTCTACATACATTTGGCTTACCAGTGCCAGGATATCTGCTATTGACAACTGCTTTGTGAAGGACCACGGTTAATTAATTTTCACCATCTGCTCTTTCTGCGTTTCATTACCCACTGACCTCATTGTTTACAATACCCCCCGCAAACCATGTATATATGTTACCCTGCACCTCAGAACAGCACTCACACATCTGATGCTGTGAATTGTAGTTCACAAACGCTTATGCCATTATCAATTTGTTTGTGTGTAAAGTGCCTGATATGTATTGAAGTGCTCACCCTGGCCACCAGGGGTATTGTGTACTGTACAGTAGTACCTCGGGTTAAGTACTTAATTCGTTCCTGAGGTCCGTACTTAACCTGAAACTGTTCTTAACCTGAAGCACCACTTTAGCTAATGGGGCCTCCTGGTGCTGCCGCGCCGCTGGAGCCCGATTTCTGTTCTCATCCTGAAGCAAAGTTCTTAACCCGAAGTAATATCTCTGGGTTAGCGGAGTCTGTAACCTGAAGCGTATGTAACCTGAAGCATATGTAACCCGAGGTACCACTGTATATAGTTGTCACTCAGGTCCACGTCAGTTAATTTAGGCGGGAAACCCTGGGCTGTTGTTGTTACCATGTTGACAGCCGGCTGCCTGTAAAAGCAGGTCGGCTGAGCTGTTCAGTTCCAGCTTACTATAAAGAACCACTTTGAGAAATCTCTGTGTCGTCTGCTTTGTCAACCCGCTAGTTAATAGTGCCGTTGTTAATTGTTTAAAGCATGTTTTGGGAATTCACAGCTGCACCAGGCTTAATCAGTCTAGAGTAGGCATAGACCTGGAATATCTATTCCCCTGCTCTGCCCTATTCAATTTGTGATCTCTTTCTCTTGCCCTCTCAGCTCAGCATCTACAAAAGCAGGATTCATAAGCTGATATATACCTGGCAGCTCAGTGAAAGCAGGCAACGTATCAGCCGAACATTTTTGGCAAGCTCCAAATGCTGTGAAGAACCACAGTGATAATAAAGTAATTAATTTTTAAAAAACATCTGGTGTAGGGACAACATAACAGTGCAACGCTCCGTTCGACAGTGATTAAGTTTGGCACTTTTTTAATGGAATGTTGTAAACCTTATACATAATAGCAGCAAGATTATTCCCAAAAGATCAATGCTGTGAAAAAACACACAATGAAATTAATTCCAGGAGTTCAGAGCAAAGAGCCAAGGGCATGACTACATTACAGTTTTAAATCAATTTAAAGCCTATTTAACTGTTATGGCTCACATCCAAGGAGCCTGGGAATTGTAGTTCTGTCAAAGGAGTCTCTAATGAAGGCTGCACTCACTGGCACCAATGCAGGATTTGTGGCAAGAACATTTTGCAGTGGTTTAATAGAGTAGCAGAAGTACTTTGCTCAGGTATGTGCATGAACGTCGTTTCCCTATAGTACAGAGATGAGGAACCTGTGGCCCTCAGGATGTTGCTGTAACACAGCTCCCATCATCCGTGACCATTGGCCTTGCTGACTGGGAATGGCAGGAGTAGGAGTCCAAAATCATCTGGAAGGCTGCAGGTTCCCTGTCTTTGCTATATAGTCAATTCTGTATGGACAAGTAAGCAATGGAGGAGGCATTTGTCCATGCACTTGCATTCCATGCCATTGCCTGTCCTAGATAGCAGAGTCAGGATCTGGGAGAATTTGTTTCAAATCCCACCTTTGTTGCCCTAGGCATGTCCCTCTATTTGATCATCTCTCTCTCTGTCTCTGATGAGAAAAATATATCTGCAGCAGACTATGGACTAGTGGGATTATGGCGATATCTACATACAGGGTAGAATTTACTAATCCCTGCTACTTTCATCACAGGTGGGAATGAGGGATAATGGGTCTTTACTGTCTGCAGGATTCATCTTACTCTTGTATGTTTAAGAGGGTGAATCAGAATCTCTTAAATTTCTCAAAATAAATTCTGTCAGTGGTGCTCCCTGAATATACTTAAGAAAAATCTTTGGTGTTTGTATTAGTTTTAGACCTATGTCAAAATGGCAAAAATGCATTCCATTTTCTCCCAGTTCCCACCCTGCTTATTTTACATTTTATTTTTTGCTACATGCTCTTCCAAGTCCTCCTAATATACCCACTTGGAGGGACCTGGGTGGGTCCCATGCCTGCATCCTATGTTTGCTCCGCAGCTCCCTCTCCCATCCCCTTGGGGGTTTGTTTTGGTCTCTGGGCTGCTGCCTTTTTTTCCAGGGCAAAGGAGCTCCCCCTCACGTAGCTTCTTGTTCTTTCACCCACTGCTCTGGCCTTAGCGTTCTCTGCTCAAAGGCGTGAATGCGCTTCAACTCCTCCACTAAGATTTCATTGACCAGCCAATGCTGATGCAACAGTGCTTTTCCTTGGGATCGTGGGGAAGCTACTAGGACTTTGAAGCTTGTGGCACAGAGTCCAGGGGTTGTGTATTCTTCCACCACATGCTCAGCCTTGAGCCCCTGGAGCAGCTGCTCCCGCAAGGCCTCCACACTGAGAGTGCCAGACGCCTCCATCCTGCCCAGGAAAGCACCCAAGATGAAAGACTCCCAAACAGTTTTTATTGGCTATTGCAAAGGGCTTAATCCTAAGGGAGACGGAGGATTACATTTTATTATGACTGCTAAACTAGTTGTAACTGAACGGTTTAAGTGTAATGTTCAGACATGAAGGTGTTGACATGTTTTAATCTATTTTACTGTTGGTTTTAACTAGTTTAAAATGTTTTTATTTGTTTTTAACCGTTTTTTATTGATAATATTAATATTTCTTGTAAATCACTTGGAGGTTTTAATACAATCAAGTACAGTAGTAAGAAAATTTTGTTAAATAAGCATGTTCAGCAATCAGTGAATGAGTGAATATTTGTGGGGGGGATTAGGATATTCCAGTATCAGAATTTACTTATCATACACATTTCAGTAAGTAATATATACATTTGCTTAAACCAATAGGTCGTAACAAAAGTAGTTAAAGAGAAATTTTACCACAGTTTTAAAAGCGATACATAGAATATAAAAAAACAGCAGAGAATAAAGAGTAAAATATGGAAGGACTAATGTAAAAAAATTAATAATTAGAATTTAAAAGTAGAAATGACCCACCCTCAAACTAAATCCATTAATCACAATTTGCCATATGTACAGTAAAGGTAAAGGGACCCCTGACCATTAGGTCCAGTCGTGGCCGACTCTGGGGTTGCGGCGCTCATCTCACTTTACTGGCCGAGGGAGCTGGCGTACAGCTTCCGGGTCATGTGGCCAGCATGACTAAGCTGCTTCTGCCGAACCAGAGCAACACACGGAAACGCCGTTTACCTTCCCGCTGGATCGGTACCTATTTATCCACTTGCACTTTGACATGCTTTCGAACTGCTAGGTTGGCAGGAGCAGGGACCGAGCAACGGGAGCTCACCCCATTTGAACCACAGACCTTCTGATCGGCAAGTCCTAGGCTCTGTGGTTTAACCCATAGCACCACCCGCGTCCCGATCATATGTACAGTACAGTACTGAAATAAATTCAGACTTGGGTCGCAGCAGCATGAGCAGCAGTGACAGACCATGGGGTCCCAAATTTCAGAAGGCCCTGTGCAACACCAAATCTGCCCCCCCCCCCCCGCTTCTCACCTTCCACTCTGTATCATAGTTGCTGCACCCAGTGGCTTGCTCCCAAGACTCCACGCCCAGCACAACCAAAAGAGTTGTGCTCCCCTAAATCCGCTTCTGTGAGCAACTCAACAGATTCACCATTCAAAGCACTGGCAAGTTTAAACTTTGATGGGCAAATCATGAGTCTGATGCAGTAGCTCCTTTCAGTAGCTCCTAGAGATATAAACCCGTGAGCCATTTAACACCCACCTGCTAATAAAAACCCTCCAAAATGGATTTCTTAGGCTGCCATCCTAAACACAGTTACACAGTGATACACACAGTCTGGACCCAGTCTGACCCCCTTTTTTCTATGGGGCCCTGTTTGTAAGTGGCCTCCTTGGCTCTTTCTACTGGCCCATATGAGACCAGCACAGGTGGCCGGGCCTGGTGAACATTTAATATTCCTTACCCCTACGGCTGTGATTCGTGGGTTCCCACTTAATTTTATTCTGATTTTAAATGTGATTTTTAACTGTATTTTAACCAATCGTTTGATTTTGTGTTTTTAATGTATTATATAGCCGCATTGAGCCTGGTCTTGGTAAGGGAGGGTGGGGTATAAATTGTTTTATTATTATAATTATAATTATAATTATTATTATTATTGAAGTCACAAGGACTGTTACAGAGCATTCCTGTACATGCCTAGCAGAAGTCAGTCCCATTTATTAAAGTGGGTATAGGACTGCCGCCAAAAGTGGACAAAATAATCAGGGCATTACAAGGACTAACAGATAATTGGGTGGCATCCCTTGACCTCACTTGGAGTCTAAACCCAGTCTGACTTGGCAGTCTGTCCTATTTGAGTAAGAGTCTATCATTAGGAGCTTTGCTACACTGAAGCACATTTAGATTAGCAGTTGGGAGTTTACTCTCGTTTCTACAGCAAGCTATTTATTTCAGTGCACTTATGCCTGTCCAAGTTATTTTGGCTGCCCTTAAAATGTGCCTGCACTTGTGTGCTGGAAAGTTTGATCTACCAGCCTAATGTAATCAAATTACCTGCATTTAATCCAATTTATTCCTGTTGATTTATAGATATAATCACATGCACATGTGTTTTATATAGATATAAATATAATGTACATACTAAACAATGCCAAAAAACAAAAGCACAAAGAACCAGTGAGTAACTTAATTCTATGTGCCTTCTGGTTTTTATTTCATAAAATATGCTACTTGAACATCAAGATTAGTAAAAAAATAAAATAAATAAATAAACTAATCGATAACATCAGCTGCAATATTTCATTCAGTTGAGGTTCCATTGAGGAGGTCTCTAACAGTGCCTCTGGCTTCATTAATCCTCTCATTCCCAGCCTCCAAATCTTACAACACTCCTACAGGAAGTGGGGAACCTCAGGTCTGGGTCCCAAATGTGGCACTGCAAGCCTCTATATTCAGACTCTCCATGAGTGTTTTTATCTAGCTGGGATGTGTTACTGAACTCTGATAATGATTCGTGCTTCCCTGTTTGGAGGATAGAGAGATAAGCATGTAGAAACTAGCCTACTGCACAAAGGTAAAATTTACATTCATTGTTCGAACCACTTCTATCTCTGGCCCACCACTGGTCTGTGGCCCCTGCGAGGTTGCCGAGAAGGAAATGTGGCCCTTGGGCTGAAATGTGTTTCCTACCCCTGCTCTACTGCCCTTGAATTTGGGGGGTTGATTCCATAAGGATTAACTGCTGCTGTAGATAGACATTCCCCATCCATTTGTTTCCTTTTCCTGCAATGGTAAATGGAAGGAACATTATCAGTGCAATGCACAATATCATCAGTACTCTCCCTTCAAAGCCTATCCAGGTTAAAACTGATATGAAAGTCTGGAGGGGTTATGCTTGCTGCAGCTAAAGGTAAAGGTAAAGGGAGCCCTGACCATTAGGTCCAGTTGTGACCGACTCTGGGGTTGTGGCGCTCATCTCACTTTATTGGCTGAGGGAGCCGGCGTACAGCTTCCGGGTCATGTGGCCAGCATGACTAAGCCGCTTCTGGCAAACCAGAGCAGCGCACGGAAACACCATTTACCTTCCTGCCGGAGGTAAGGTACCTATTTATCTACTTGCACTTTGACGTGCTTTTGAACTGTTAGGTTGGCAGGAGCAGGGACCGAGCAACGGGAGCTCACGGTAGCTGCAGCTACACATCTGCTAAAAATGGTCCTGGGACCTGGAAGGCCTGAATCTTATTTCCTGCAGGCAAATCTTGCTTCCACCCCTGCTAAAATGGAAGCCAGGAGCCAAAGAACTGCTTAGGCTCATGCAAGAGGACTGTGTCACGCAAGTAAAATTAACTACAACATGTTGTTTCTCAGCTGACCAACACGTCATGTTACAAATATTACAAAAAATACCCTGAGTTTCAAGATCAATTTGCCTTTCAGCAAACTCTCTAGACTTTGTGGAACTACCGGTACTTTCACGGTTGTCTGGGTTTCGGCCACTGCCTAGAAAATTCATAGGACTCTTCTGCGCTTATTCTTATCTCGGCAATTAGGCGAACTCCTCTAGGAGGAAATTCCCATCCAGTGTCTTATCTGGGCACTGTGCTTCTCCTGGTGGCAAGGGAAGGAGGAAATGTCATCGTATTTGCATAATTTGCAAAGAGAAAAGGGAACTAGCGGCTGAGAAATGTGGTGCAGGGACAGCAGAGCAGAGCACCTGCTTCCCTGTTTGACCAGACTCCAAGCAGTTTCAACAGGACAATGAGATGTGGCCACATTGCTGAGGAAATTGCAGCCAATTCTCGCTATTCTCCCCACACTTCAATAGCCCGACAGTGCTGGCGTTTCAGGGAAATGCTCCAGTTGCGATCCTTCACACACCCACCCACCCCAGGAGCTGGTTCGTGGAAAGGGAAGAGAAATATTGTCAGACAGTTAAAACAGAAAAAGTACCAGCAATTCCCCAGCAAGATGCAGTTCCTGATATTGCCCCAGTTTTTGCTACTCCCAGCACAGAGCAAGTGGAGGCAAGCAGTAGCCCCGGGGGGGAAGTCATGGGACCTGCACTTTCTGAGGGCAAGGCGCCTTGGATACTAGGCTGAATTAATGATATTAATGCATTTACATAAAGTGCTTTGTGGGAGTTTAAAGGGCTTCTTATATTCCACCTGAGTAATCCATACAACAACCCTGTAGAAAAGTCCGCGCCAGCAGTAACTTTGGTGGGCCTGGCTGGTGGCACTCTGCATGCTCCAGAGAGGCAGCAGGGGCAGGGAAGATGTAAAAAAATAAAATAAAAACCAGGTCAGCATCAGCGGCATAGGATCCTCCAGGGCCCGAGGGGCCCAAACGTTTGCCTCACTATATCAGATGCTGACAGCATGCCCCAAAGCAGCTCTGTAGTATTATTATTATTATTATTATTATTATTATTATTATTATTATTACTGTTATTAGTATACTACAGATAGGGAGAGTGATGGAACTAAGAGATAGAGCCCAACTAGACATGACTATAGTGCAATTCCAATGTCATGCTTAATCATAGTTTAATGCGTTAAGAACAAGTCATAGCAAACTTTGGTATCATATGCCCCCCTCCCTTTCCTCCAGTGCAGGACCAAGGAGGAGTTCAGAAGCTCTGGCTTCCATTTTTGTTTAACTGCATCCAAATCAACAAAGAGTGGCTAACGTTAACTATGGTTTATTTGAAACAAGCCTCCTTGAAACCATGGTTTATTAAACAAATGCTCTTTCATTTACCTATAAAGCCAGGGGTGCAGGGGAGAGTGAATTTGCTTTTTATATAAAAAAGAATGCAATGGAACATAGAGCAGACAGTCCAGGATAATTATCACATCAAATTCACACTTAATGCGTCAATGACATGTTGCAGGATGGAACCACAGTAAAAGGCCC